GAGAGAGAGAGAGATTAATAACCATGTAACTATCCGTGTTTGTCTTCATAGGCTATTCATAGGCTCATATGTTAAACCTAAGACTGGGGATGGATAGTTCAGGATAAAGGGGACAAAAGGGAGGAGGAACTACTGTGCATCAAAGTCGTCTGACACAAACCCACATTTCAGTTATGTAAAGTCACTGTGTGTATGCACAGTACAACAGCCACGCAGACAGCGTGTCCTGTTTTAATAAGAAGGAAAAGATAAGGAGACTCAGAGAAAGAAATTAAACCAAATAGCAGCAACAGACCTAAGAGTAGAAAGAGTCGTGAGAAGTTGATGGAGATGAAAAAAGTGCTCAAGAGAGAAAAGCAGAAAGCACACACACACCGCAGAAACACACACAAAGATCCATGCAAATGGTTGGTTCTGCAAAATGAATGCATGTGCATGAATCAGATGTGAGTGATTTGACTCATGCACACTCACACAGATTTCTCTCACCTCTTACAAACACACACACAAATTATATAGATGTGTAAAAGAAAACCCTGAATAACTGAGGATGACCATGAAGTGAACCAGATGCTGTGGCCTTCCCAGCGTCTCCACCACCATCATCAAAACATCACATGAGGGAACATCTACTGGAAGAACAGCGTTCATCCCTCCAGGAGAGCTCAGAGACCTGGAAAGTCAAGGTGGAGCTGTTCTGGTGGCCCAGCACCTCCCTGGGACTCTTTAGGCCGGGTTTTACTTTCATCTGTCACATCTGTATGCACAGTATAAAATACAAAGTGTTCAGTGGCTGATAACACCGCATCAACAACCCAGCTTGACTCGCACATCACAACCGCTACATTGCACAAAAGCACAGCCATGAACCTGACAGAAATGGTTCTCAAAATCAGTTTGCTTTGCTAACTTATTCTGCAGTGTTCGCATAAAAAAGAAGTAAGACGAGGGAGGCGTGATCCCTGCTGAAATTCAGCTGTGGCCTCATAGTAAAACCTGATGAAACACTATTCATTCATGACACTGCAGAATCACTTTGTTTTTAATCATCGTTTCTCCAGCTCACCTTGAATTCTGGTGTTTCACTTCCACCTCAGGGGGGTGACAGTATTTTAGCCCGTTTATCTAATTAACTTTGAAGAAATATGATGGCACATAAAAGTAGTGTCCTCATTATGAGTGTTTGTATCTGTGGGTGGGTGTAGACGTGATCGCACACACTGGCCACGATGCAGTTAGTGCTTAAAAGATTTATTAGTTGCTTGAAAATTAATTGATGCAATTCTGATAAAGTCAAGTTTAAAAATCTGCGGGTTCGGCTTCTGAAATGTGAGAATCTTTGATGATTGTCTGTTTCACATGCTTGTAAACTGGAGCCAGGGGTATTTGACTCTCGGTCAGACATCACTGTGGGATCTGCCAACTTCTCATTTACTCATTTTTGACATTTTACAGCCCAATAACAATTGATACTATAAGCTCATCACGATAAAAGGTTGGACTTGGTTCACGTCTTCATTTCACTTGTTTGAATTTTCTCAGCTGCTCTTTATGTTTGTGACAAAGCCTTCTGGTTCAGTCCAAACCGAAAGTGATTTCAGCTGGAACCGAGTCCGTCCCTGAAGCCAAATCTCCCTCTTTCCTGAGCAGTCTGAACATTCTCTGACACTTTGGCCGAATGTCGACTCTTCCTGCCAGGGCCCAGGAGGAGGACGCCGACACCACACGCCACTGGATCTTTGACAAACATCACCAACTGTTGCTATGCTGGTCTCAGTCAGACCTCGGCTCCGTCTTCCACTAATGGCCTGCCTCCTCCAGTGACAGCTTCTGCTGCTGGACCCCTTTAGATTTCTATATAAATCTGGTAGTGGAGACAGCCTGAGAGTGTGAGAGAGGCAGACAGGCGCAGTGCAGAAAGACTGACACACATACACACACAACAACAAGCAGGTGACTTTCACACTAGTTTTAGATCCGGTTCTCCATTATGGAACGTCTATGGAGGCATGGTAGTCCTGCTTTTAACCCCAATAATCAATAATAGGATCCATTAATTTATGATTAAACTAGTGGCTTTCAAACCAAATTTTTACTTTAAATTATTCTGATTATTCTTTAACTATACAATAATTTAATTCAAATCATTTCTCTCTGCAGTCTGTTACAGTGGGTTCCCATAAGTATTTGGCACAGAACAGGTCTGCGTTTAAATACAAAGGCAATTTTTATGTCGTGAAAACCTTCAGCCGTCTATGTGAAATCAACTTCGATGAACAAATATAATGATCTGGAGCCCAGTGATGCCACTTTATTTGAAATGCTGAGGTGCCATTTGCAGAAAGTGCTCATTTCATTAGGCTCATGTTTGTGGTAAAGAGCTTTGTAAAAGTAATTATTAGACTGTTAGGCTGACAAAGTGACATGGAGAAGAAAGACAAACACCAAGACCAGTCTTTCAACAGCCAAGCAGACGTAATGAGGCAGAAAAGCAACTTTATGGAAGTCCTGGCTGTAATTACCAATATATTGGAGTATATATCCCTTTAGACTCGCAGCTCAGCTCCTTCCTCCCTCCCTCCTTCTGGTTCGCCATCATCCTCTCTGCTTTGACTCATCTTTTTCAGTGAATGCAAACACAGCCGGTAAAGTCTAGCACCCATTTTCAAACATCTGCCAAGCCGTACACGCTGAGAGGCCAACATTAGATCTGTCTCATTTGCAGAAGTGCCTCTTGAACATCAGTAAGGTGTTGATGTACAGCAGCAGCTGTCCTCCATTCTGTTTATCATGTCTCAAAAGCTCCCTTATTAGAGCAATCTAAAGGTTCCCCTAGTTCTGTGCATATAATAGGATGGAGAAAGGAAGCTTAATGAAGATGCTTTTCTAATTAAGTTTGATTAAGAGTTGTTTAATTTTCTGCTCTTCATGGGCTCTGACGACACATCACTGCACCTTGTACTGATTGGCCACCTTTACTAAAGAACTACTAAATCCATCCAGCCAGGCTGCAGGGTTCAACTGGTAAACACCAAGCCAGCAAAACTAACTATTAATCTACATACAATCCTAAAGAACATTTTAACTCTGAGCCACTCAAAACTGGAACCTGATCACAAACGTGAATGAACGTGAATTTTTGTAGGGTTTGGTGTCTGATATCTCAGTGGCCAAACCTTTGCTCCTTCCGTACGACAGTTGATTTTTGCAGGGTTTGGTGTCTGACATCTCAGTGGCCAAACCTTTGCTCCTTCACTTTCCCTTCACCTAATCTCAAGCCTGATGCTCCCACACTCCAACACCATGTGAGAAAAGGTTTAAAGCCGGCAGGCTGTCAGAGTCAACTCAAATGGACTGAACTGAACCAGGGTAAATTCCTGACGGGTTTGTAAAGTTTTGGCCAACTAGAGGTAAGAAGGGCCAGTAGCCAAAGCTCTGGGTGACTTCTGGTGCTGCTGAGAGAAGGGAAAAATCCCCTTTTTGGTAATTCTGACTATAATTGCATAGGGAGTGATGAGGTGATGAAGTGAAATGAGATTTGCAGCAGAAAAAAAGCTCAAGTTCTGTTTCATTTTGCAGCGAGCAAGCAACACAAACTGGAGAAAGGAAATTTAAACATGCTACAACAAAAACGTAACCGCAAACAGGTAAAAACCAAATAAAGATGACAAAGCCATTTGAGATGCATTGATAAGTGTCAAGTATTCATCCCATTGTGAGGATTTCCAGAGAAGAAGCTGTGATTTTGGTTTGAGACCGTTCATCTACTGCCGCAGCAGCAGCAGCAGCATCATCATTAACACCATTCCTTCATTTCAAGGCTTCAAAACTCAGCAGCACTCACACAAAGGGACATCACATTTTCAAAAGCTGCAAAGGAACAGTCAGGTTTCGGTCGAACACACTGAGATAAGCATCCCGTGTTTCTGCTGCTACATAGTGGTCAACAGGAAGGTTTACTTTTGATTTTGATGTAGGCAGAAACAAATGAACACGTGATCACAGCTGCTACTTTATTCACCACTACATCCACTGATAGGTGAACAAAAAGTGGGAAAGACTTTCCAGTACATCAGTAACAAAAAGACCCAAAGATGAATTAACACAAACATTAAAGCTTCACAAGAGATGTCGGGCTTAATCAGAACACAGCCCGGTTCCTGTCTGTAGCAGGAACGACAGGCACACTTCAGAGATTTTGACGAACCTGGTTTCCTTCGTTTTTTTGCCAGGTGCTGTCTGACTGTGCGCCTCAGCAGCGCTTACAATCACTTTCACAAAGATAATAGACTTGTTTACCGTGTTCGTGTCTGCATTAATTTCCTGACTGTTGCAGGCTCTCGCTTGAATTCCCTTTTTTCACGCCATTTCATTTCCTTTCCCTCCATTTTCCTAGGAATGAAGCTCGATGATAATCGCTGTGTATGTGCAGAAATATTACCTGCACAGGCCTTCTTCCTTCATCAAACATAAGAGAATGTGTTTCCATAGAGGACAGGCAGACCAGGAGAAACAGGTGAAACAAACTCGTTCCCCACCCACATGGACAAAGCCCAGAGGCCTCATCAGCTTCCATTTACCTGTTTTATGTTCTAAAATTGATTCTTCTTTTCTTGGTTAAGTTTGAAAAAGGGAATAAAATGCCAGGTTCAGGTGCCAGTGTTGGAACAATCCTTTCAAAGTCTTTCTGGAACACTGAGCTGGGAACAGACACGTCCACGCTATCTTCTCCAATTTGTAAAACAAAAACCTGTTTTTGGTTCCGGGACACTTTCCTTACTTTCTCTTCCACAGTCGATATGGATGAATGACAGCTCGCCCTCCTCAGATGGCATTTCAAAGACAATCTCCTTCACAAAACATCTTCCTCTGCTCTGGTTAGACAGGAGAGGTCTGGGATCCGGACGGCCTGAGACTCCCAGCAGACGGAATGGTCACTCTTTTTTGTGTCAGTGTGTCCATTCACGTGGTTTGCCTTGCTACCCTGCTGAGGATCTTACCTTCTGAGATCTCATTGTTCCCCACAGTTACACCAATGTCTTCTCTCCTCAGGGGCTGAACTGTCTCAACACCTGATCGCTGAGCTGGAAGAAAAATTAAACAGTGCAAAAACCTGCATTAATAAACGGTGAGAGGAGATGGTTAAACACATAATGATTTGTGGGCTGAAGCTTTTCTAAAAACTGAACGCCCCCCCACCCCCCTTGTGGCAGCGGTGAGGTTACACCAGGCCAAACTAACCTTTATGATCTGTTAATCGATCAGCTTGGATGCCAGTGGAGAGGGTTTTATCATCCAAAGCTACCAGAAAAGTCAACAGCAGCAACAAATTGTATTTGTTTAAATGTCAGACATCATCACCCACCTTTGGATCGAAATTTCATAAGTGCTACTCCACAGTGTTTCTCATTGAGTGGTGCACCAACAAAACATTTGCCAGCACAGGAGATCATAGAAGTGTGGCCACAGAAATGATGTGGCATTTCTTTGAAGAGCAGCGTGGTATTCTAACTCCTGAGTCAAAGGCTTTTCCGCCTCAGTGAATACATTTCTGGAGGAAACCCTGCATTAGGGAGCCCGTTTAAACGCATTATGTGTAGTATTTCTGTCTCCCTCAAGCACAGTGCGACAAGTAAATATCAGCAGGTTGCTCAGTGTCAAAGTAAATAACTCAGGCGGTGTGTTTCTGTATTCAAACCCACAGCACTGAGCTGAGATGTGTTATTGTTGATGCTGTTTGAACTCTTTCCTGCTTTACACAGCGTGTCCTATGCTCCACCCTGCACCAGCCACACAGCTTAGAAAACATCAGCAGCTAAACAGCAGAGCCATCACTGAACAGCGAGGTCGACCTGTACGGTAATCTGAGATCGCATCACAGCTGCGTCGCTCTCCACAGGTCAAACCCAGTGCTCTTCTGACCACACCCTAATCAGTGATGTCACAGCAGGTGCTCTGCTAATCACAGCTGATGGAAAACGCTTGCTGTGACATCACTGATTGGAGCCAGAAGTGCAGCTTGATGTCACTCTGCCCAGCAGCTGTTTTCTGTTGTGTGAGCCGACACGGCTGCCACCCGTACAGCAGACTGTCATCAGGTCGATGCACCTTTTCCCCCAGTTAAGTTCTCTGACTGAATACAGATACAACTTTTAATGATATAGTTTCTGTAAACCCCCACTCAGACAGTGCTTCTCAAATCACTGGCAGCATCAGTCGTCCATCAGCTGCATCAGTGGAGTCATACTACTCAGGGTTGATCAGTGGAGTCTCTGACCTTCATGTTTGGCATGAAGAGGTTTGCTCTCTCGTCCTCTTCCGACTGCAGTGATCTTAAAGTTGTATTCGTTAGTGGGGTTGAAGTCCTCAATGAGCAGCTTTGCTTCCTGCTTTGATACCTGCACCTCCCGGTGCTCTCCACCTGTTCAAGGTTAGACATCAACAAACAGCTGCTGAAGACTGATGAACAGAGACTAGAAACATGCTGGTTGGACATCCTTTTCTAAAAATCCATTTAAAGCACACAGACATGCAAACATAGTGAGAGCTGGAAAATAAAATGAAGTCAGTCAGCATAAGGGCCGCACACACTGGGAATTCCCAGCTTTAAAGCGCACAGACATGTTTGCCTGTGCTCAAGAACCTCAGCTGTGACTATAAAGGTTTTATATTTTAAAATGTCCACTGTACTTTTCTCCTTGCGCTTAAAAAGCCTCCATTCACATTGTCTGGTGTCATGCATTTCACAGGGGATCACCCAACTTCAGTGACAGCTGTGTACATCGTGTTGACATAAATTAAACATGGCACTCACATCTGTTTAGCAGCATAAAGATCTACAGAGCACAAGTAAAAAACAGCTGAATTTTATATCACTGAAGGAGCAGCTGAATCTGTGGACTGAGCTCTTCCTGTCCTTCTACACATGACCTTCGTCCACTTGTTTTATGGAAATATCAATCAGAGAGACATCGACACACTTAAACACCTGACATCTGACTCACACTGAGCGCAGACACTCACCTGCGGGTGCATGAATCATTGTCTGCTTCACCTTAACTGAACTGCGACGGAACCCTGCAAGGCTTTAGCAAATGCTTTAACAACCCAGGTCTGTGAACGTCTCTTTAACAAGATACAATTGACTGTGATACGATTTTCACCGGACAAGCTGCTTTACTGACACTGGGCAAATTATACTTTGAATTTGTTGACTTTATTGTATGTGGGTCCTTTACTATATCCTTCATATTTAAGATGGGGGAGTAGATCGAATGGCTGCTGATGAAGCTGCTTGTTGTGGTGTGGAACATCATTAATGGCCCTTTAAACCCCCATTACAAACTGTGCACATCGTCTACACACCTCGCTGTGTTCTTAAACTGCTTTTTTTTTTCCAAATCTGTGATGATGACTCGATCAGTCAAACTGCCCAGAAACGAAAACGAACAGTGAAAAGCCCCCAGGCTTCACAGACCGAGGGGAGCAGAGATGATTAAAGCCCGAGGTGGAACCAGCCCATCACAGCAGCAGGGAGCAGAGGGCAGCCAGTCGAACCAGGTGCAACCCAAGAGTCTGGACCAAAAAGTAATAAGGAGTAGGAATAAAATCAAATAAATCAGTCAAATGAAATGTATGTATTCAGGATTAGCTGGGTGTATCTAATCGTGCCAAACAATGTGCCTTGCTGTCGTAGCAGCAGACGCTTTGGCAGAAGTCAGCAGTTTACAGATTGACTGAGAAGCGTAGGTTTCGGTTTCCTGGCACTCAGAGAGTCTGTCATGTCCACAGACACTGACTGGGAAGTCCAAGTTCATTTGAATAACAAATGCAAATTAGTTTAGTTCGTTGAAAGAAAAATGCTTACTCCATTTTTGCTTTTTTGTTTGATTACATTTACTTTGGCTGCTGCACAAACAAATATTCCAGTTGGAATCAATAAATGTTCTTGGCTGTTGTCAAAGCCAGCTTCTTTAAAAAAATATAAAAAAAAAAAAAGATTCAAAAATCTGATTTCCACCATCTTCTCTTACAAAATGACTGACAGAACAGGAAGCGCATTGGTATTTAAACGATGACATGAATATCTTCTACAGCTTTTCAAAATGTGCTGCTGTATTAAATAATCAGTTTGTCTTCATGTGTTAAAACCTTAACGTGTATGTTCTGGATCTGTTTCCAACCATGACAGACTATGAGTCGTGTCTCCACAGCCATGAGGAGAAGCTCAGTGAGACCATCCAGCTGAGCTGAACAAAGGAAGGTGGCTGTTGAAGAAAGTTCATTACAGCTGCTTCACTGCGTTTCTGCCTTCAGTACCAGTGACCTACAGCGAGAACATGACGTCGCTCGGCCCAGAAGGCACACAGTCATCCAGTGCTAATTACTGTTTTAATCAGGTTTTTCCCTCCTTTGCTTCAAAATTAAGCCGTCCCCACAGGCAGCATGTAGCAGAGCGAGCTGTGTGGGCATGTCTCAGAAATGAGGCCAAAGTGTCAACCCTTTATGAATACCTGTGAGAGTATGAGAAGGCCTGTAGCAGCACTCAGTACTGCTCATGGGCAAAGTACATACATCACGTGACAAAACAGGAAGGTTTCCCAGTGGTCAAAGAGAAGCCCCTGTGTTTACATGCTATGACCTTCAGATGCATGTCCAACACTGAAGCAGCTCAGCCACCAGAAAACAAAGCAACACGTTTCTCTGGCAGGAGCTGCAGATCAAACGACTGTCTGGATCTGTCTCCCCCTTCTCTACCTTTTATTTATATCCAGCATTGCTCTTCCCCTTCACTCTCGCCACGCCTCTCCAGCTCCATCCTTCATCCTATCCTCCATCATCACCCTGTTTTTATATTCCTGTGATCCCCTCCATCCATCCCACTCTGCCTCGCTCTGTCAGGGGATGGCTGTCTGTGCTTACGGCAACTTATGTGACATTTTTCTCCATTACTGTGATCAAATAGACAGCCAAGCCTCCCCAGAAGCTACAGGTTAATTCCACCGTGGTGGCTCAACGCCGCCCAGCTTCAGGCCGCAGTCCATCCAGCAGCGTGGACGCACAGTCAGTATGGAAAGTTTTCAGACCCCTTCAAGTTTTCCACATTTTATGTTTCAGACTCATCTTAAAATTTATTTAATTCATTTTTTTTTGTCGTGTTTTGAAAATTTCTTAAAACAACAAAGGATCTGAATACTGATGTAAATGGGATAAAAGGCTCCAAAAGCCTGTTTTCACTTTGTCATTCTGAATCACCGTGTGTAGATTGATGAGAAAAAAATGAACTGAATCAATTTTAATACGAGTCTGAAACACAACAAAATGTGGAAACTTCAATGGTCCTGAAAACCTTCTGTACCGACTGTAAATACAAGGAGATGGTAAAACCTACAGCTTGTATCTCAGACTGTCATTAACAGTCTCAGGAGGAGGAGGAGCCACCGCACTGAGTGACCGTCCTGAAAAGACGACATATTTAGTACAACGACATTGTTTATTACACTTGATGTGTAATGTTTATGTGGGCATGTCAGTAGATGGTGGCAGAAACACGCCACACGCTGTGAAGCAGTGCACCTTCACAAGAGGAGAAATTGTTCTTAAGCTTGATCTTAATCAATTGTTTTGGATAGGAAATCAATTTAACTTCATTTTTAGGCTTTACAAACACTCTCAATGCAGTTCACTGACAATACATTAGAAGTGTTAGCAATTTACATTTAGTGGGGAAAAACCAAACACTGTGCACTGCACTGCCTGAATGGATCTTTATGCCAAGGCCACTGATGCTGCTTCCACACTGACTTCGGCTTTTGGCGAACAGCCACCACCACTGCTAGTTAATTATGATTTAGGAATGAATTTTAATGCACCATTGTAACAGTGGGGGCATTAACCTATCAAAATATACAGCTCCCTCATTGTGCTGAGTGTCTGGTGAGTGAAGTAAAAGTGAATTTAACTGTATCTGCTGGGCCTTGCACCTTACTCTGGGAACCTGTTTAACTGTCCTGTAACTCAAAGTAAGAGGAGCAGCTGCACCTCTTCCCATTGCAGTAAACCATGTCTTTGCACTCTGTCGTCTTCTTCTGTGGGAAAAATAACCATAACAGAAAGGAATGAATTGAAGGAAGAAAGAAACAATAATAAAAAAAATCTTGTCTGTGTGGTTTGTACACAGGCAACTGATTACAAACTGAATATCTGAAACATTTCACGATAATAAACTAGTTAGGAGCGCTCACTAATGGTTCCAATTTTACAGCTATCTATGTGTGTGCATCGGTTTTCTCTGGCTGCACTAAAGACTATAACAACAACAACACACTCCTCCAGGTTTTCTGTGTAAAATGCACGCGCTTTGTGCTTTATCTCCTCTAACTCTCCTTCATTTGCCCATCTTTAACTTTAACTGCAAATGAGCATCACCTAAAATGAGCCGAAATCATGAGGAAGTGTTGTCATGTGTGTAGTCAGTACTGTGCAGTGAATGCGAGCAGTGCTAAATTACATTTTCACCCATTTGTGCCAGTGGCCAAGATGCCGCAGAGGAAGAATGGGAGACTGGGAGTGTGTGTATCCTCTCTCCCATTAACCCAACAACTGGAGGAAGGTTTTGCTCAAATTACACTGCAACAGCAGTGAGAAGGTAATAAAGAAAATGACATTAAAGTTGTGTTTACTTCTGCCCCTCATAACATCCTGTAACAGCTCCCCTGATAGCACATGATATGCTTTACAAACTAATCACGCCATAGTCACAATATGTCACAAAATGGAGGTTTATGGCTTTGCACCACAACCATAAACAGTCCAATGTCTGCAGTGCACCTCGTTTTACCGCTGCAATAAAAAAATAAAAAAAAAGCTAGGCCACAGTTTTTAAACCGGGCTACAGCACTTTATTAAAACACAGAACAACTTTGGAACTATATACCTAATACAGACACTCACTTTATAACCATGATTGCGATCGATCAGTGGCATAAAACTTATTTCTTCAGCGTAATAAAACCAAAATAATGTTTCCAAATGAAGAATCCAGTCAACTTAAACAACAGGTCCAAAGATAATACTAGAATTATCACTTCACGGTCGTATGTGTCCGCCAACCAGTCAGTTTCAAGGGAAAGGGACAGATGAGCAGCCGCTGACCTTTGACCACTGAAATCTAACCAGTTTAACCATGGGTGCAAAGGGACACTTGTGTCAAAGTTGGAGAAATTCCCTTGAGACATTCACAAGAATGGGACGGATGGACACCTCAGAAACATGACAGCTCCCACTGTAGCATAAAAACTACTTTGTGTACTGCTGAGACTGACGAACATAGTTGTGGTGTCAGTTTACACGCCAGTGCAGAACTCCTCACTCTTCTTCTCCCACTTGAAGTAACACGTGAGCCGGATCCGATCACTTGCAGAATAACTGCCCATTAACAACTGTTCTCCATATCGACATGCTGAGCCTTGCCACACCAGCACTCAAGGCTAAAGTATGTTCACAAACTCATGGCAAACAAACTTGTTGAAGCCTTCATCAATAAATCCAGAGGCGCCAACTGCAGCCAACCGCAGGTTTCCTCAACAGCCTGTATCACGTCCATCAGGTCCTGTGTGTGGTTACGTGTCTCGTTCTCTGCAGAGTGACTCACGAACCAACATGCAGGAGAAACCCGCACAAAGAGAGAGATTTGATCTTCCTCTTGCCAAGAGCTTCAACCACGGCACTCTTCTGTCTAACTGTATTAACCTGCATTCTGGTCGTCATTCACAGTACAACAAGCGCCTTCACGTGTTTGGGAACTACACTGGAAAGCTACAACTTTAAGTACAAGAACCGATGAAGGCTTTTCTTTAATGACATCACCCCACAACCACCACAGCTGAGGAGGCCATGAGCAAGGCTCCAGACAAACACCAGGCAGGACTGCACAGGGGAAGAAGTCCTGTCTGCACCTCCTTAGATGAATCAAGTTTAAAATGGAAGGTTTCTGCATGAAACAACCCTCGAGCTGAAGCTGAAGCCTGAGTTTTTCTTCTCCGCTGATCTTTTTCAGTGTCTTTATGCTGAAATCAGGAATGTGAAACATCATGTTCCCTTTTCAAGTTTGTTGAAGGGTCACGTGTCACTACACAAACACATCAGTCACACTGGCCAAACTCGAAAAGTCCTAAAACACAAGCTTGAAAAATTAGAAAAACACTTGTTACTTTTAAACATATCCTTTGCTCCACCTAAGAGGGCCTGAAGTATTTTTCTAATTTTTCTCACAGTTCAACTTCAAGAGCACCTTTAGGCGTTTTGGATCGTGAGCACAAGTCCCTTTCTCCTTTTGCTTTGACTGGACAGTTTTTAAAAACGCTCTACTGTTTCTCCTTTACAAGTGTCAGTAAAACAATATTCCTGAAATACAGGCCAAAGTGTTTTTAAGACCACTACTCCAAAATTCCAGTAAGTGGCATGAGCAAGGTCTGAACATTTATTTGGATTTCAAGCTTCCAGGAATTTGGGGTCAACATCGGCCTGACCAGTCTGAACTTGTCCAGACTCCTGCAGGCGAGAGTTAACAGAAATGATCCGTAAAGACAAAGTACAGCCTCTCGATCCCGTTTTAATTTTTGTTACTCACTCTATCTTGTTTCAGTTTTTTCTTTTGTAAATGATTGTTGTATATTCAGAAACATGTATAAGAGCCTCAGGTTTCTACTCCTAAAACAGCACTGCTCCAGGTCATCACCGGATCTCACCTGGCCGTGTGGTGTAGATGACCTTGTAGCTTTCAAACTCTCCTTTCGGCTCTTTCCATGACACCTGCAGCTTGGTGGGACTCAGGGCTTTGGCACGAAACCTCCGTGGCGATGAAACTGGACAGACACAACAACATACACAGCTTTACACAGTGTCCATTTGAAACGCACTGTAAATATTTGAATGAATGGATGAAAGATCCCTGTCATGCACCATCTTTACCAAACTTTTATCTTAATGTTAGAAAAAGGCTGCTGTGATCATTGATGCATATTGGTGGATCACATCAACAACACTGGATGGAGTTCAATTTCGTTCAGTCAGGGTGTGAGAATGAAAAGAAATCTGCTTCCATGTGTCTGCTTTTCGATTCTGTGTGTATTAATATCAATATGTGATGTGTCAAAGGTCGTGCTTAAAGGCCATTTATCCTTAATTGGTCACATACAGCATCAGCGCTCAGGCTGTTTTACAGAAACGCAGGTTTCACAGAATGTGTTCTCCTCCTGTTTTACTTGTGCGTGGCCGTTCATCTGCTAAGCACAAAACACAACCGTGACTGAGATGAGCTGGACTGAACTCCCTCCAGAGTTATAGCGGCGCAGAGGCAGCTGCTCCATCTGTGGTTTTAAACATTCAGGAAAGGGGGAAGAAAGAAGGAAGAATTGTATCTCGCCCGAGCGGGAGGATACACATCAGAGATTACCTTGCACCGATGTTGCATTAAAAAGCAAAGTCCCATTCTCCTCCTCATCCTCATCATCTATTGACAAGGCCCCATTATGTGCATCTCTGCGGGGACACGACAGGTCTTCTTCTGTGTTCTGCTCACTGTGAGCATCAAAGCTACGCCCCTCCGTCTCATCCTGATTCGTTGTCGGCCCCGTCAGCTGCCTTCTATTCATCTTCTCAAGCTTGCACTGTGTCTGTCACGTCTCATCTGTCCCTCGTCCCTCATTCTCTACGTGTCCCTCCCTGTCCTTATCTCATTTTCCTTTCATTCTTTTCTTTCTGTGTCGATGTGCTTTGAAATTGTCATCAGGGGTTACAAGAGGATGAGAAAAAGGAAATGTGACTCCCTTTTAACTGCAAGGAGAAAAAGAACAAAGGGCACAGAAGGGAACGGCACTGGAATAGCATCTATACACTATTCCTGTCCTGACCTCAGCAGAAGTGTTTAGACGTACAACACAGAACGAGCAAATCCACTATGCTACACGATATCCAAATACTCTTTACAATGGCCTCAACCTGCGTGCAAACCCTCAAAAAAGCCTACGACACTGTGCTAGAGGAACCTTTTTCGTTCTCTCCTCACATTAAAACAGGTTAAACACTGGAATAAGGCCATTGTAAAGCACTGCAATAACAAAATCCACATTTCCACTGTCTACACCCCATCATCTTCACGCCGCCTGAGCCAAATCCCAGATAATAAATATGTATTTAGAAGCAACACACTCCCCGATCTAATTTGGTTAACTGTGAAAAAAAGACAAGCCAGAAGGTGGAAAATAAAATGTAAAACCCACAAACTTGTGTGCTTGTGTCCTCATTATGAGGTGAGCCATCTGCTGCTGCTGACTTCTTTAAATACCTACACTGTGATTGACATTTGGTAGAGCTCTGATCACAGGAAACCAGAGGCATAAAGGGACGGTTCACCCAAAAACATACTGACTTCGAAGACAAAAGCACATTTAAGAAGGATTTGTTTATTGCCATGGTGTCTCTGGAACACAATATATGTCGCCTCTCCACGTGGCACCAGGTAATTTTAAATGTGAACAGCTAAAACTTCACAGATTAGTTTTTTTTTATAACGTGCCATCCATGATAAACAGACGGGTTTGTTGGAAACACCAGTATGAAGTGAGATCAGCTGATGTTTTCCACCTTTCCCTGCATCTTGCTCCACAACACAATTCACTCCAGCTGATGAGACTGAGCACCAAACACCTCTGCAGCGTTTTGGGTGAACCCTCTCTTTACACATCCAGAGAATGACTCATGTTCTGTAGGTATGCAAAGAAACTTCAGTCCAGCACGGGAAAAACTATCCTGATCGTAATGAGAATATGAAACCAGTGCATTCAACAGCAGGCAAACATGTTTCGATACGAGCACACAAAAGGAAAAGTGTACCAATTATCTCACCAACCTGGGGAAGAGAACGCGGGCTGCATGGGATTTCAGCTCTGCCTCCGAAATGAAGGACATTCTCTCATCTGAAGAGAGCTGCTCAAATCCCCAAAGATTTGAGAAACAGATTTCACTCCTCTCTGTTTGTAGTGTTGCTGAAATGTGCTTGAGTGCATGTATGTGCATGAATTATTTATGTTTGCCTGCAACTTGAAGCATGTGTACAATGGTGTATGCACATCAGAATGTCTGTGCACATTATTCTGTGTAGCTTTGGTGGTTGTTTTTTCTCACACCTCTTGAGAAACCTGTCGGCTCCTTTGCAGCACCACACACACAAACGCACACACACGCTCGCTAACAGAGAGCCATGGATCTTCTCTGTGAGACTGTTCTCAGGCAGAGATGAGTACTGGATGCCGAGCAAACCGCCTGCTGAAGACAAAAGGCCTCGTCTACAGACACGGGAACTTAAATCTCATCAATTTTTCATGGAGAATCTTGTGCAAACAGTAGAGCCGGCGGCTGCTGAGGCTTTGGGAGCTGTGCAGCAACTCCAATGTGCAAAGTTTTACTGCTTTTTATCAGCTAGAGAGGGAAAATCTGGGTGACACCACTGGGTGAAGGGATGGAGCTTAGCTGAGTGAAGGGGGACAGAAAACTTTCCTAACTGAGTCACTTTTAGTTTTAGAAGACTCCATGACCCACGTTATTGTTACCAAGAGCAGATCTTCAAGATGCTAAACACCAATAAATCATTATCACAAATAAATCAGTGTCATTACTACACTACACACCCATGTTGTCAGACCCTCCAGGTCAGACAACATGGGATCAAACCAGACAGGAGGAGGGTGGCATCTGTCCAGAGTGAACTAGAGCTAAAGCTTTCAGTGTCTGGTGATGGAGGATGGCAAAGGGAGTCAAACACCGTGAAAACACGTTTATCCCATTCATGTCAACATTTTGTGTAACTTAGGGATCAGACTAACTTTCCTATTTCATACACTGTCAATTTCTATTCGCTTCATGTCAGCAGCTCTCAGAAATGAAACTTCTGATCATGTGACCTAGAAAAGGTGCTGAACAGCTCTGACACTGGCCCACGCTGCCCTCCAGGTGCACAAACCTGCAGAAGGCGACAATATTTGTCACAGACCTTTTTGCCACAATAAGACGAGATGAAACCAACATCTCTAAACAATAACTGTGACTAAACTTTCTTTACAGTTTCACTGACAAAAAAGGTGTTTAAAATCAAGTCTAAAAATAAATCTCCCCATTTCTGTGATGAAGAAAAGAAGATGAAATAATATGAACCGTTTTCCAACACTGACATAATCCAACACACTTTGTTCACCGGATGGCTGCCCTGCACATTTCTCTACCCGTGTACCCAAATCAACTTCCTGGTTCTGTTAACACCCCGCCAACAGTGGCGCCTGGACTTAGCTCCTGTCTGCACCAAAACACCATGACTGTAGGAGCTTGGTGATGGGACAGGACACCACAGCAACAGCTGGGCTCCACAGAAAATACTTCTAAGATAAGGTTGAACAGAGAAAAAGACAGTGTAGCATATTTAGGAGAGAAAATGTTTTGCTGAGAAGGAAACCACAGCCCTGGCTGAATTCCAATATGAGGGCAGTTTAATGCTCCTTCTCGCTCTCCATGAAAACTAGACTAAAATGTTCACAACATTTTCGCCAACTAATCTTTTAAAAAAGACCAAAATGTCCAGAGTTTTAGTCAACCAAAAATAAAGCAATGAGGCTGACTAAGTATGACTAACATGATCCCAGAACTAAGACTAAATCTAAAAATAGCTGACAACACCACCTGCTGATTCTTTTTCCATTATTTCTGCAGCCAAGAAGCCTCCACACGTCACTGGGATCCTTCCTTTTAAAGATGGACTTTGACAAGTGTCTGGTCTAAGGGTTTACTTAATCAAAGACCTAGTTTGTTTTCCTACTACACTGCACAAAGAAACCAGCAAAACAGAAAGGCTTTGTTTCACACTTCTGGACTCTAGATGTTCACCGAACAGTGTGAAATCACTTTGTTTCATACCATTTCCTTCACTGCTGAAAGGCACCGTATCGGCCTCTGAAACAAACAAAGAGCCATGGAGCTGAGGAGTCTCTCAGTGGAAGTTCTCCAAGCTGATCGTAACTCCTCAGCTCTTCCCGGGTCACTGCTGTAGCCCAGGCTAGCACATCATAGCCCCTTCACTGAGGAATGCTGTGCTCAGGCCAAAACCTAGCGAGTGTCCTTACTGTGTCGGAGCAATTCTGCTGTACCAGTGTCACGTTGTGCCTTCACTGGGGCAGACTGACTGGTAAACATATCCTGGAGATAAACATACTCCCACTTCGATTAGTCAATCTACAGAAAAAATCACAGGCAACTATCATCGATTAAACTCAGCTGTGAAGACCTAGTGTTTTTCCTTGTCTTAGGTTGGACAAAACAAGCTGTGTGATGATGCCACTCTGGGCTTTAGGAAACCCTGATGGCATTTTTCAGAATGAGATTACAGGCTGCTGAATTTTGGACATTTCCAGTTTTGCCATGCTACTGTCGAACCACAAGAAATGCTCTAAGGTAGGGGTGTCAAACTCAATCACACAAGGGGCCGAAAATTAAACCAGTCTAAGTTGTGAGCCAAACGGGATTAATATTTACTGAACAGTCTAAATCTGCCAATGATTTAACCAGAAATATGAACTTGGAAGAGACTGCCACAACTTTTTCCTCAATAAAAGTTTGAAAAATTCAATCCAAAATATTTTTTCCTCAACATC